GGGAGCAATAAAAGCAGATGAGGCACTCCTTGGGCAGGAGACCTAACCCCAACAGAACCTTGCTTGATTGCTGTCTTGATACTGGCAGATCTGAAAACAATTTGCAAATACTCAGAGAAATAGAAGAATACTTTTGTTTTAGTGTTTTTTAAATACTGTGTACTTCATGTCTTTAGATTCTCTAAAATGCTCGTATTGATTACTTACACATATTTTTAGTATTTAGAAATGTGAAGGTGCTTAATATTGGCTTAATATTACTTGCAAAGAGGTCAGTGGGGGCAAATCTAGGTCCATATTGTTTGATTTGGAAAATACGACCCTGTGTTTGTAAATTATAACTTGTTTTCAGGCTATTGTAATAGTAATGTTTTTAATAAAAGAAATGGAGGAGGTAATATAAAAAAAATGAAGTGCATCAGCCACAATTTCACCTTGCAGCTATGTATTTTGTGGTCATTATTGCCGATAAGCAGCAATGAAGTATATAGAGTAATTAAACAATATGTATTTCTACAGGTTTGACTTAGGGAGTTTTTCTAAAAGTTTGTGTTTTATCAGTCTGTATTTTGTTTCTATGTTCCTGTATTTTTAAATCTTGAAATATTGAAGTCTGTCAAGCAAAAATACTTTGCTGTGATAGGTACAGGGTTTTTTTTTAAGTTTAGAAATTTTACAGTTAATGTGTTGTTCTGTGGGAGACAAATGATTATTTTTAAAAGCTTCTTTCAGCTGCAACGGACTTGCTATAAATGAGTCGGAAGAAAGCAAACTCTCACAACTGTTTAGATTAAACAGCAGAAGAAGTCAGTTGTTTATGTGATCTGTGAATGATTTATATTTTAAGCTGCATGTAATTCTTTTCATGCTGACAAGTTGATAGTGAGCACCACAATCCAATGTGGATAAAGCTACCTAGCTTACTGAATTTTAGTCTGAGTGGTGGCAAGACAGGGAAATATGAGTGAGAGTCTTAAGTGCTAGATGGCTGGAAACAGTTAATCATTTTTACCATTCCTCCTTTGGAACAGCAAAAGCAAAGGTAGTACAGACTACAACAGGCCACTTGTTACTGTTTACTTAAGTACAAACAGTGGTAGAAGTGTTTAGTCCTTGGGGAAGCGGCGTGATTGAGCAAGAACGCACAGGTTATTTTGATAAGGCATAGCAGTAGTGTGGCCAAACTGTGATCATCCCTGAGCTTCAGGCAGGCCAAGGATGAAGGGCTCATATGTTTGGATCTTCCTGATGAACAAAGATAAATTCTGCTAAGAAAATAAACTCGGAATATTGGTCAATTTGCAACAATTGGTGAAAGAATTAAATTGTATATTTTAGGACTTGGCATGAGAAGTTGTGGGAAAATAGTTCAGGGTTTCTGACTCTGGCTTGATTTTTCTGTAGATCTGGAAAGAGAGCAGAAAATTAATGCATAAACATATTTAACAATACCACGCTGGGTGCTGAAAATCCACAATGAAAATTGAAACTGCATGAGAAACAAGAGCACAGTCTCTCTTCTCACTTCAGCTTCTCGGTTTTTCACTGCAAAAAATTTCTAAGAACTTGAGCTTATTTTAAAAAAAAAAAAAAAAAAAAACAGCTACTGCAGACCATGAGCTTTTTGTGACTCTGCCCAGCGGTTCTGGTTACAGTGCCATTAACAGAAGGCTAAGAAGAAATGCAGTCTCTTCATTTTTCACCTCCCAAAGGATACCCATATAGCAACGTCTGCCTTCGTTGGAGCATCTGCAGTGCTTCTGCCACTGGGAAAGAGAATGGGCCAATTCAACTGTTTATGTCTGCTTGAATGGCAGAAAAAAAAAATGCAATAGTGTGTTCACATTGCACTGTTGAAGTAGGGGATGGGCAGAGGCAGTAACCTCTCACCAGGACATGTTGTTGAGCAGCTGGGGATGTCTGTTGATAAGCTCTGCAGCTGGCATAGCTGCAAACAGAAGAGGTTATCGCTGAAAGCCTCAGCCTAGTGCGGTTTTGGCAATACTGTCAGCTAGTCCAAGCGACGGTACACGCAAGTGGCTTGGAATACTGGATGGGAATGTGGTAGCCTGAGCAAAGAATTGCAGTGCAAAGCTAAGCACAAGTGAGTTGAGGCCCTGGTTGGGACTTGCAGGCCGTGTGTTCTGGTTTCAGCTGAGACAGAGTTCACTTTCTTCACAGTAGCTAGGAAAAGGCTGTGTTCTGGATTTGTACTGAGGAGAAGGCTGATCACATGCTGATGTTTACAGTTGCTGCCAGGACAGTCAAGGACTTTTCAGCTTCTCTGCTGTGCTAGTGTCTGCAGGGGCAGGAGAAGCTGGGAGGGAGCACAGCCCCAATTACTAGCCTAGGATTCGATCTTAGGTTTAGGTTTGAGACCCAAATTGGCTAATAGCCTGTTCCATATCATGCACATCATGCCCAGTGTATGGATGAGGATCTGTCCAGAAGTTCTCTGTCTCTTCGGGTCAGCTCTCTCTCCGGGTTGCTGCACTCTCAGGGTCATCTTGGTCTCTCAGACTCTAATCTCCATTCTGGGATTGCAGTTTCAGGACGCTCCCTGCTCAGGGATCATTAGCCAGGAACAGGCTGAGCCTTGGTTGTTGGGTGGTGAGCAGTATCACTGTGTATCACTCATTTGTATATTTGTATATATTACTTTTATTATAATCATCATTATATTCAGTTTTATTGTAGTTTAGTTATTAAATTGTTCTTATCTCAACCCACAAGTCTCTTTCTGCCTTCACTCCTTTAATTCTCTCCCCATCCTCAGAAGGGAGGAGGCTGAGCAAGTGGTTGTTGTGGTGTTTTGCTGCCAGCTAGGATCAAACTACAACACCGCGTGGTAGAACAAGTTCCAAGACCCTAGGTATTGCAGGTCCAGGTGTCTGACCCTCAGCTTCCTCTGCCTCTCACTATGTCCAGAGGGTCACAGTTCCTTTATTTCTGATAACGTTGTTCTACATTGCTCTCCATCAACGTCCTCCATTTGACTCCTAGGAATTCAAGAACTGGTTTTCTTTTTCAAGTTCACTTCCAGAAATACGTGCACGTGTAGGCTTTACTTGTGTGTTGACTAAATGAAGTTTTCTTCTGCAGCTACGCAATTGTGTGCTACACAATTTGAATAGGATTTAATAAAGCCACCTCACATGCTACAGAAATTAAAGTGTGAGAAACATCTGCAAATCAGGCATAAGCACAAATGCTGTTGGAGTGATGCCAGTGAAAGCTTAGCTCCAGCAATAGGATAGGAAACTGCAAGCACCTTGGCCTCTTTGCCTCACCTGTGTATTGTTTTATTATAACATATCAGTTATATGACCTATTAAATGATGTAGTTGTTGTATTTATGTATATTGTATTGTATTATGTAGGATACATCTGGGCCTGTACCTGTAACTCTGTTTTTTTTGTAAACTTCATAGATACAATAAGCTTGGAAGTAGGTAGGGGCTGTGTTCCCTAAAATTCAGGTTTTGCTTCTTGCAAGTTTGATTGCACATTCCTGGGTTAATTTCCTTTTTATATCTGTCTGGGGTTATGATAGATAAATGCAGTTCTTCAAGAATCTCACAAATGTTGTTATAAGTAACCTTGTGCCAAAATTATCAACTGGCTGATTCTCTCAAAGGTGTAGTACATTATTTAATATCTTCAGAAAAATAAGCTTGAAGACAAATGTGGGAAAATGATAGCCTCAGTTTTCTACAGAACAAAGTTATCCATATACTCAAACCATTATACAAAAATCGTTCTCTGTGGAAAAAAATATAACAAAATGCATGAAACATCTGAACACATTCAATTATGAAAATTAAAAAAAAAATTATAAAATTCAAAACTTGTCATGGTGGTAGTACATATTTTCTGTTAAATGTACTCCTTTAATTTACTGCTGTTTTCTTCTTTTTTAACTATCAGAAATGTAGAGACCTGCCAAAATTTTAGAACAGAATTGATTTTAATACAAAAAGCATTTTGGAACATGTCCAGTGGGAGAGTGAAGTTGTGTATAGAGGGTGAGCAGGAGACTGTCTCTCATTCCTACCCCCTCTGTCCCAGTTTGTAAGTTACAGTTTGGCAAATTAAATGTGCCTACAGTACAAAAATAACTTAAATACTCCAACTCTTTTACAAAAAAAAAAAAAAAAAAAAAAGAAAAAAGCAGCAAATCAATCCTCGTAACAGGATTTTCAGTGTAGCTTTCATTTGTCATGTTCTTTTCCTAAAAACATTAACCTTTGTGTCTTCTTTGAACCCTTAAAGTTTAGGAAATGAATGGAGATTATTGACCACACAGAAGCTTCCCCAAGCTCATTTGTCAACCGATCGTATATTTAAGAATATCACAAGTGACAATCCCCTTTTTTAAAATCACAGATATATTTAACAAGTGCCAACTAAAATGTTTCCACTTCTTACAAGAAGCTATTATTCTGTGGAATCATTTTCCCAAGCAGTTACAAGGAAGCACATAGAAGAAGGGGGAAAAAGAACAACCCCCAAACCAGTGTGTATGTAGTATAGAAGTGTTATGGCCTCACTGGGTGGCTCTTCATATGGCACCTCCAACAACTCTTTCTTCCTTTGCCTTTCAGGTGTGCACAAGCCTGCTTATCCTCTTTCCCATTGCATTTCAGAATATTCCTTTCAGCCCGTGTTTTTTCATTGCTGATAGTATTCTATTAGTGTAGAGTTAATGAGGAAAGCCCACCATGCCAAGTGGAACTAAGTCATGGAACCCTACAGTTTTACAATATAATTTTGCCGAAGTCTATTATCTCTACCTATGAAAAGGGGAATATATTTTGGTTCATTTTTTTTCCTGATGTTAAAAATTGTCTTAATTCAAATATACTATCAGGGAGTCTGTGTTTATATATATATATATATATATATAGCTTGGGCATCTACATCAGTCTAGACAGAAGAAAAAAAGAGGAGTGGTGAAAAGCAATACCTTTTTTACCTCAGCTATTACGTTTGTTTTATAGGGTGATTCTCTTCATGGTGGTGATGATTCTCCATTCTCAGACTCCATTACATTGGAACAAACAACAAGTAATATCGGAGTCTCAAGTGGACGTGTCAGCCTATGGATGCAGTGGATGTTGCCAAAAATTACTATAAAATTGTTCGCTCCTGATCCTGGAAATAATGGCACAGGTATTCCGCAGTTTTCCCCCTATATGCTATTCTGATTTCCATACGTTATTTTACAGTGCAGTATTAGCTATTCAGAGCATTTATTGACAACACTAAACACTGTAATGCAGAAGTAATAGTTTGGATCTATATTTTAAACTAGAGTGACAAGCTGTTGTTAGGTTAGTGCATGGGATCAGAATTCAGTGTTGTTCTTTGGCACAAGCTTGCCCTTCTGTGTGGAAAGATATTAAATGGGAAATAAGTTGGTTATTTTACTTAATAGAGGGCTGCATTTATTGCTTTAGAAGCAATCATGTTTCATTGTGATATGATTTATTAGTATGTTTTGTTTATGTCCATGTATAGAAATGTAGTTTAGTGTTGATAATTTCAAAATTAAATTTAACATAATCATCATAGTATAATCCTTAAAGTCATTGTAAGTTTATTATGGATTTCCATGTAGAAGTTTTGACTTCTGTGTCGAGAAGAGAAATATGTGTGGTACACGGCTTCTCTTTTTTACTTTGAAATTTAAGTTAGATTATCATCTGGACAGTAATTGTTTGAAAAGAAGTTGGATTCTATAAATGTACCAAGGGGCTTCTAAGTTTTGGTTTGTTTGTTTGTTTGTTTTTTTCTAGGAAGCACTACTGCTTAATAATTAACATTGTTACTCATAGAAAAGTGAAAAAAATTAGACTAATGATCAAAGCTAATTTTCAAAGAGATGTACTTGAACCTTTGATTTTTACAAAACTATTTACATGAGCAGAAGAAATCTCAAGTGTTGTTAAAGTAAATATCTTGGCAAATATTTTTTTACATTTTTTTCAGGACTTATACTATGAACACCTAAACTGAAAACCCCATGTATAAATCTCTCTACACATTTGTATAAAAAGGTTTGGATTCCAGGATTTTTTCTGGTTCCTATCTGTGTGACATTTCAATCAAAAAGTGCTTTATGAAAAAACTCAGAGTAAAAGTAGCAACATCCTATTTACAAAATGTAGTGTCTCAGATATAGTTCATGCTTAAAAACATTAAAGTTTCAGATTAATGACTAATAATTTTTCTTTTCTTTTGTTGCAGAAGTTTGTGTTGTCAGTGAATTAGAAGATCTCAGTGCCTCAGTGGATATGCAGGATGTTTATACCAAAATCAAATGTAAAATAGAAAGCTTCAATATTGACCATTACAGAAACAGGTAATTCCTGGGAGTTATTCTGCTTTCATCTCAGGCTGAAAGAAGAAGGCAGGTGGTGGCTTGGGGTTTTTTTTCTTAATTCTTAACTTGAATATAAGTTAATTATTCAATTTCGGTGAAATTACTTTAACTTTTTAAGTAATAAAAAATTAGAATTGTATCTTATTCTAAAGAATTACATAGAAGTCATTACAAATCAGGAGAGCATTTTTTTCATGCTTACTGCTCTGTTGGTCCATTAGACAGAAGTCATTAATTTTAACTGAGCTTTTGAATGGGAAATACTGCTTCATGGTGCGTTAGCAAGTGCTAATATTTATTTATGTTACCATACTCCAGTGTCTGCAAGGTCTTTTTGGACACTTATTGTTCCCTATGTACAATAGGAAGGAGATTAAGGGTCAATTTAAGAACTTACCAACGTTTCTGAGATATTTTTTCTGATCAGCTATCTGAAAAAAAAACTTTTGATTTCGTGTTCTTTTGCCAAAGTTACAAATACAGTTATTGTTTTTACATATTGTAATATTTGATAATCAAAATCTTTTAAAAATCAAGTCATGATGCCTTAAATGCTTTGGTATCCCAGTAGCTGGGTGCTCTAAACAAGCTTCTTTGTCCAGAGATTCTATGGAAGGCTTTATAGTAGGGAGCCTAATGCTCCATTAAGAAATATTTTCAATTTCAGAGTGAAAAAACAACACACACCAAACACAACTTATTCCTCTTGGCAAAATCATTACTATTCTCATTTGTCTTTAATAATGTCTTCAGAGTACCTTTGTCTATCTTTAAATCTCTCTGGACTAAAACCAAAAGCAGAGAATAGATAAGGTGAACATTGTGTCTTCCAGGCCAGAGGAAGACTGGCAATCAGGACATTTTGAAGGAATATTTCTACAATGCAGAGAAAAGCTTTTGGTGAGATTTCTTTAGTAAACTAAGGTGCCTACCTGAATAACTCTTCTTAAGCAACATATTTTTCTTTATTCCTATATATGTTAAAAAGAATGATTACAAGAGGTGTAGTACAAAGCACATTTTCATACGTCATAGCTCCTTTTCTCTAAGTAATACTGAGATTTTTGTGATGTATAGGAGCACATCTCTTCATTCAGTTTCTTGGTTCTTGTAATCATTCTTCTCCTCATTCTAATAAAGCTATCTGCTGAAAATCCAGGGGTAAGTCCCTTTTCTGTATACAGGATTTTACTGTACTTTTATTCTTATTTACTTTGACCTCTCACTCTAGGTTGTCCTTTCACGTAACATTTTGCAAAGTTTTGGGTTTTTTTTAACCATTTTTTTTTCTTGGTCTGGTTGAATTTCAGCTTTTTAGGAAAAGGTATGTTACACAGAAACATGCAAATTCAATATAATTTTTTTTGCTTATAGCAATTATTTTTTCTTTTTTCTTTTTTTTTTCTTTTTGTTTTCCCTTCTTCCATGCTTTGTTCATTGCCTCAAGCCTTGGGGAAGATTCTTGGTCTCTGGGGCAATATGGAGGTGTGTTCCTTTCCTGTACTGACAAGCTGAACAGACGTACCTTGTTGGTTCGACCCATCAGCAAGCAGGACCCTTTCAGTAATGTCTCTGGCTTCTTTCCCTCTGTAAGAATCTCTTTTAAAATTTTTACTACAGAACTTCCACTAATAAATGCCAGTTGGAATGAAAAAAAAAAAAACAAAAAACACAAACTCAAATGGCTTTAGGTTTTTGTAATGTAATTTTTTTTGTACTGAATGTATTTATTGCTTAAATTAGTTGTGTTATTTCTCTCTTATCCTTTAGTAATAGTTGTCATTTTTTAGTAGATATGGGAATGAGGGTTGATGATTCACAACCTGGTACGTGGCAGCAATCCAGTGAAGTCAATGGGATTAATTTGTATTAAAAGTGAGCCCATACACTAATGTTTGGAGACAAAATATGTAAAAGCCAGTACTGAACGCTGCATTTTGTTCATGTAATTCTGATAGGGATTTAAGTACTTTGTATTACTGCAATATACCTTTATGCAACCTTTTATTAAATTAGTTGTGTTATTTCTCTCTTATCCTTTAGTAATAGTTGTCATTTTTTAGTAGATATGGGAATGAGGGTTGATGATTCACAACCTGGTACGTGGCAGCAATCCAGTGAAGTCAATGGGATTAATTTGTATTAAAAGTGAGCCCATACACTAATGTTTGGAGACAAAATATGTAAAAGCCAGTACTGAACGCTGCATTTTGTTCATGTAATTCTGATATCTACTTAGGGATTTAAGTACTTTGTATTACTGCAATATACCTTTATGCAACCTTTTAAAATTATTTCCTATGGTGATGCAACAAGCGACAATTTCATCTTTGGGTATTTCTATTGAATACTTGGAGCATTCCTTGCTGATTCAGAATATCTCAGTGTGAGATATTTAATCCCTTTTTTTTCTTGCCTGTTTATCCTGGAAAGACCTTATAACACTGGGCTCTTTATCTTCCCAATGACTGTATAGAATCTTTTTATGTTAGTGGAAGTTCTGTGTGGTCTGATTTATTTTGATTGTGAATATTGATTGGTAGTACTTTCTCTTATTCTGTTTGTTTCAGTTCTTATAGGAAGTTAACTTACTAATTTTTTTATTTCACTTAATCATAAAAGCTTGCAGTTTTTCAGCATTTGAGCTATGTATGCTGTTTATTTAAGAGAGATGTTCTTCTGTTAACAAGGTTTAAATGACATTAAATTGGTTTTAGTCAAACTTAAGATGCTGAACAAAGCAACTGCTTGCCAAGTGTAGTTGCTTTCATTTATGCTCACGTGTTTAAAGCTAATATTTAAAGTCTTATAGAATTCTATCAAAATTTTTATTATACGGTTTAAAAAATGGTTTTCCTAGTTATTATTTTTACATTTTTCACTCACTAACAATGTGTGACTGAGAGACGTTCAAAGATAATGTGGAAAATGTACTTTACATCTTCTGAGAGCTGAGCATCCAATTGTCATCTTTAGCTAGGAAATCTGTCCTGAGGGAAGGAATCTGGTCTTTCTAAAGTACAGTGCAATGTATCTTTATTTAAATGATGTGCTTTAGCACATGGTACACCTGTTCTCATTAAATACACAGAGGTGATAAGGGCAAAACCAGCTCAATTCTTAGAGTGTTTAGTTGACTATGGCTGGTTTATACACCCATGTTTAGATGGAGTGAAGCTATCTCAGCACCCGAGTGTTATTTTAACACCGAATAGTTTTCACATACAGAAGGAACAACATAAGGGAGTAAAATCTACTTCTAAAATGTCCTTTGAAAGTGAAGGAGAAATCAAAATATCTAACTGTTTGAAAAATGATCAGAAAATCTTGGTAAATTTAGACTTTTGAATATATGGGGGTTTTTTCCCCATTGTCTGGATTTGAATTTTATACAACATGAATCATCAGGAAGGAAAAAGATGTTCAGCGATTCATAGTTTTAGCTGACACAATACAGCGAGGTGTGAACACACTGTGGACAAATCGTCCATTAAAAAAATGAAAGAATTTTTTTTCTACTATTTGGAGACAGTAGAAAGCTATTAAAAATATAGAAACCTAAACATCCTAACTAACAGAGAATGTGATAATTGATGCATGTTATATGTGTACATTTTTGCAGCAGTTGTGTGTTTTTTTTCCTTGAAACAGACAACAGCAAAGCTTTTAGATGGCTCACACCAACAACATGGATTTCTTTCTCTCACTTATACCAAAGCTGTGACAAAAAATGTCCGGCACAAACTGATATCAAGAAATGAACGAAGAACATTCCATAAGCTGTCAGAAGGTCACACTGATGGTTCGCCTCACTTTCTTCATGAGATCCTTCTCTCTGCTCAGGCCTTTGATGTGGTCCTCTGTTTTCCTTTGCTTAATGCAATTGCAAGCATTTTTCAAGCTAGGCTGCCAAGGAGTCAAAAGGAGAAAAGAAAATCACCAGGCCAACCTACAAGGACTCATGCTCTAACTTCCCGCAACTTGCCTCTGATTTATATCAACACTGGTGTAATACGAGTATTCTTTCCCAAAAATGAGGAAGATCATCATACTGCAGAAGGTACAGTATTTCATGTTCGAGTTTTTTTTGCAGTTAAATATTGTAGACAAATATCTAACTTGGTTGAATTGCTGACCTTGCTTGGGCCTTCGGTTTTAAGGGTCAGAGTTAGGACATCTAACATCGTAACATCTGCCATTCGTGTTACGTCTGACATTCACGCTACTTCTCTGCAGATTTGCCGAAAAGTTACTTTTAGGTATTTGTTTGACCTTTGCTTTCCTTATACCAATAGAGTTTGCATCTAAAACGTGATTATTAAAAAAAAAAAAAGTCACGAATTGTGGAAAGAGAATGTAACCCAATTCTGCAGTGGTGATTTTTGTGTCATCTCTTATTATGCTGGTACCAGTTCAGTCTGCCATAGACGCCTGTTCCAGCAGTGGAGCGTAAGCAGGGAGCCTTAGCTCTGGTGGAAATTGACACCTAGAAAACCATGCAGTAGTAAAGCAGGTAGATGTTCTAGTTGAATTTGGAAAACATTATTAAAATGTACATTGTTATTGATGCCCAACAGATGATATAATTTATCATTTGTTTAGTAAGTCTTAGTTGAAGCTATTCGGACTCTCTCGCATAAGAGACTTTGTGAACAGTGTAAGCTCTTCTTTCAAACAAGGTTAAGTACCTATTTGATCTATGGATAATACTTTTTTTCTGTAAGAAATTGTTTTTCCTTCATGCATAAAATATATTTACATCTCTATTACAATCTTTATGTATAAATAGAGATGCTGATGTTAAAATTACACATTGTAACATAATGCAATCACTTCCATTACCAACAATTCTAGCAATTAAAAAAAAAAGAAGAAAAAAGTGTTTTACTGGTATCATTATATGTTTACATAACTCCTATAGGTATGGGGGTTTTTTACTGTTATATATGAGAGCACACAGTATAATCCTAAGAGTACAGTCCTTAGATTTTTCTCATAACCTGATTGCAAGTAGTGCAGAAAGTGAGAATTTACATTGGTCTTTTTTTTGCCAGTATGCTTTACAATTTTCCAACTGGGAATGCTGAAAAGACAGGAAGATAAAATTAGACTGGCTGTGTTGGCGAGAAAGAATTATGATTCCAGTTGGAAGGGAGTTCTAGGGCATGCTGTCAGTGAATTTATTTTTTTTAAGTATGTTTTTGTAGCTCTAAAGCTGTATACTTCATTAAAAAGAAACTGTAAAAAAATCTGTCTTTTTGCTGTCTCTTGCTTGAAAATGGGCGCAAAGAACAGAATTGCCAGGGTTAAATGTGGATGTAAGAAGAAAAACCCTGTATACTTTTAAAGAATAAGGCTAAAGATTAGCTTTACTAAATTAGTATGAAAGCCAGCTAACCTCTTCCCCTGGAAAATTCTGAAATATCATCACTCGAAAATCAGTACCGTTCCCCTTTCATTTGGTCTTTCACCCCAGATTTTCCAAAACTGTTTCTGAATGTGAAATAAATCGCTTTTCTACTGCTTATTGTCTTCAAGAACAATAGAAATTAGGAACAATAATGAGGAGTAAGGGTTGACTGTGACGTAGGTTACTGGTGTCCTAAGTCAGAAAAGCGTTATATATTGTAGAGATATGCCCCCGTGAGACCTCATTCAGCATTTACTGATTAAGAGATTTATTTTTTTTAATTTGATAAGATTTATGTGTTTCAAGTTGTGATGACTGCAGGGAAAGCAGAAAAACAATTACTTTGGTTTCTCTTCTAGTCAGTTGTCTGCTGTTCATACCTTGTACTTAGTGATAGCTACCAGAACTGTCCTCCCCTCTAAAAATGCATGTAATTGGGACTTTATGCATAGAGTTTAAAAAAAAAAAGCAAACCTATTCTTTATTCATGGAGTCCCAAACCAAACTTGCACAATGAGCTGCGGTACACAAACACTATGAAATAATCAATGTAATAGTTTTTCTCCTGAGGAGTTGACATACATGCCTGTATGAATACACCCACACAATTCTAAAGCGCTTTAGTTTCATGGTTTTTCCTGCAGCACCAGATTAACATTTCTTTTTGTGGTTGCCTTGAGGGCAGCATTCTATCCCAGACTATATCCAGTGCCGCTTTCTGTCACAGCTTGGTTTGTTAATACATCAAGTGGTGTTTCAAGCTCTGGCCACCAGTGCACACTTGATGAAGTAAAGACGACTATATATATTAAAGCAGTATGTAACAAACGGAAACAAGAATTCCTGCATAGCAGAACACTCTAAATAAAAATTGTAAATTGCAATAAACTGATAAGAAGTTGTAAAGAGAGGGAAAAGACACATCTGGCTGGTTTGAGGACAATAGGAACTTTTTCCAGTGTAGGTACTGGGAGCAAGATATCAGGAGTCACTAGAAAGGACATGATGAATTTGTTGATGCTGAAGAAGAAAAAGTGTCATACTGAATAAACGCATGTCCTGCATTTTTAGAAGTGATATATTCTTGTCCCATGAGCATGACTCTCTGCTTTGAAGCCTGTCATAACAAATGGTCTGTGGCATCCTCCTTGCTTACTATTAAATAGTTTCAAAGCAGTCAGACTGAGTAACTTGTGCTCAGGGATCTTAGTCTTCTGAGGCTAATTTTTAACATACCTTGGAAGAGCAGGTTTTAGACAGCTGAAGGTATAGCTAGTAAAGTGAAAAGTTTCATTGCTCTCCTTCAGAGAACGTAAAGGAAAAAAATATATTACATGGTTCAGTTAATAAAGAATTGCATATTTACACGATAATACAGTTTTATGGAAAATTAGTCTTGTTAAGCACATAGGTTTTTTCATTCTTCATTATGGTTACAATTCTAAGTTGATAAAATGTTTGCTAAGTTTTGATACGCTTAGATTTTTGTAAGGAGTTTGACTTTGTGTCTCATGGTATTCTAATTTAAATACATCCCCATACAATATCTTTGGAAATGTTAAATTAATTAAATAACTGGATGTCTAAAAAAAAAATTGTCACTTGGGAATAATAAGTGAAATTGGTATTTAATAATCTGAAAGTAAATATAAAGCCATTGCTGCTAGCACCAATGTGTGTTGCAAAAAATTTCCTGAGAAAAAGAATGTGAAGGACTATATGGGCCCTGCATCTGGATCACTGTGCTTACGTGTCTACTTGTAGAAAATAGACTAGATCTACAGCTCAAGTTATATATCTAGGAAAAAATATATGCAGACTGTATCTTCAGGACTGGAGAGACTCATGGGAAACAGTGACTGAAAGCCGCTGAAGGGTCCCAGTGGACAAGTGTAGCTGTACTGCCTACGGCAGATGATGGCATATCCTGTCCACTTTGCTTTCTGTTATAAAAATGGGAATTGATAAAGCTGGGGAGGGTGCTGAAAAGCACCACAAATGTTAAGCAAGTGCTGGAGAAGCAACCTTACAAGGAAGAGCATAACAACCTTACAAAATAATAAACAACCTTACAAAAGAGCATAACGTGTTCAACTCAGCAAAAAGTAGACTGATATGAGTGGGGAAATCCAAGTGAGACTGTGAACATTATTGCACTCGAGTCTGTAAGTTTTTCATAGATTGTACTTATATTGTGTAGGGGGACTTTTTTTCTGCCTTAATTTTTTAAATATTTATAATGTTGGTGATTATGTTTACTGCGTTATTCCCATATTTTGAAAAGCTAATGGAAGAATTCATGGGTTAATGGAGATATGAATTAATCATCCGAAGTCATGGCTCAGTTTACCACTCATTAGAAACCACCTGAAAATACTAATGCCTGTAGTTCTTTCTGTTTTAAGATTTACTTAATTCCCTGACCTACAGGAAGCTGTGTATGAAAGAACCGTGCCCAGCCTTGAAAAACAAAAAGTCCTAAAATGCTTCCATAATAGAGACTGTGATGCATAGTCCTGTGTTTATTTTGCTTTGCTAAGTGTCAGAGACAAATTAAAATTCTTAGCCTAAGATACATTTTTTAAGAACTGCTTCTCAGAATATGGCGTTTGCCACCTAATCACATTATGGTTACAATCTGAAATATATTTAATACCTTCACTCCTTTTTCCTATGTGACTATCAGAAAAAAAAAAAAAAATCCAACATGTTAAGTGTACAGTGGCAGGAATTCTAATTCTTAGTACAATGCCTTACTCATTTTTTTATCTAAAAGTTGAAAATATGGTTTCTGATTTAGTCACAAACAAGATTTTGTTGTCAGCTTTTCTCCCCTACTTCTGGCAACCACACCATCTGTATATGGGTTTGTTGGGCTTTGAGGACTAAAGAATATCACTTCGCTTTTTAAGTAGATGAAGTTCTTTTAAAGTAAATCCTCTGTGTTCTGATGCAGTTGTGTGTTGGACCTTGAACTTGTGTTACCACTCTGCTGCATGTTTACTTGGGTATTCCTTACAATTGTTTCAAAATCTATTATAATTTCTATGAATTCAGTGATTTCTTAGCTTTTAAAAATATACACATATATATGTGTGTGTATATATATGTAGCTGCAAAGCATGGTGTCTTATTTACTAAGACATTAAGGGGTCTGGTGAAGCCATTTTTTTAAGCTCAGAGATTTCGTTGGTACTTTCACAGCAAGCATTTTACACTTTAGTAAAATATTTAAACTCTGTTCTGCTACTATCATTTGGTTTTCAGAACTCATAAAGTAAAAGAATCTTGCAGAATAGTCTTGGAGAATTTCCTTGGATGTGGGAGCAAGTGGGATGTCATTCTGTCCCTGTTATCTATCACCCTGGTGTTGAAGTGAACCATCTTGTGCTGTTGGAGTGGGTCCAGGAGAAGGCCATGAAGATGATCAGAGGGCTGGAGCAGCTCCCCTGTGAGGACAGGCGGAGAGAGTTGGGGTTGTTCAGCCTGGAGAAGAGAAGGTTCCGGGGGGACCTTAGAGCAGCTTCCAGTGCTGAAAGGGGGCTACAGGAGAGATGGGGAGGGACTCTTTCCAAGGACATGCAGTGACAGGACGAGGGGCAATGGATTTAGATTGGAAGAGGGCAGATCTAGATGATTAGATATGTGGA